GTGGACCCTGGCAGTTGGCTTGGTCCTTGGTCTAGGCCCACAATCCTAAAGCAAGTTCAGAGCATTTGATGTGTCCATTTTGGGGTCTCTGTTGCAACATGCCTGTGTCTTTTCCACACTGCTGCCTGGCTTGAAGGGGATTAGTTCGAAGGCCTGCTATTTGGGCTGTTTCTTTCTCTAGACTTTTATATGCTTGCTGACTGCAAAAGTAATGGTGCCAAATTCTTGTCACTGAAATAACAGAACATTGGTATCTTGAATCATATACTATATTCAGTCATATCAACCTCTTAGAAGACTCCTTCTTCCCTGGTTGCTGAGGTCTTTCTGTGTCAGGCACCTGACAAGTGAGTGGTCAGAACAGTGAGTCAGAGACTGATACTACCTGATGAGTTCCACGTTCTTTTTAAGGTTTAGTTTTATTGTTTCTGCAGAGCTACAGGCCTGATTGTCAAAATGGCTGACACTGAGGAACACTGCCGGAAAGTAAGCCAATAGGCTTCAGATAAAGTGCGCCTACTGTGTACCACGAGTTCTCCATCACGACGGTGGTTAGTTGTGTGGAAGGCAGGGTTGTGTGCTTCTGTCTGCTGGGCTGCTCCGGGGTAACAGGTGGGGGTGTCCGGGTCAACTCAAGGTTTCATCGCAGTGGTACTTTTTAAGTTTTCTTCCTAATGCCATTGTCTGGACTTTTTTTTAAATTTTAATATATTATTTATTTATTTGACACAGAGAGAGAGATCAAAGTAGGCAGAGAGGCAGGCAGAGAGAGAGGGGAAGCAGGCTCCCCGCTGAGCCGAGTGCCTGATGGGGGCCTGGATCTCAGACCCTGAGATCAAGACCTGAGTGGAAGGCAGAGGCTTAACCCCCTGAACCACCCAGGCACCCAATTTTTTGGACTTTCTATTACCAGGATCTTCCTTACCGACCGAGAAGGGGCTGCAGTGAGGTAGTCCCTTTGACTTTTTCCTTTTTATCTATGTATGCATCGCACGTGCAAATGGTAAGCATAAATGCAACATTGAGAAATAAATCTGGTAAAAAGTATGTTTTCCTTTGGTCGTTGTTTCTTAGGCCTCAGTTTTCTTTTCCAGATGCAGTTCAGTTTTTTATGCCTCTTCACAGCCTTTATCTATTACACAGATTTAAGTATTAAATGTTATTAATATATTCGATGGAATATGATTCAGCCGTCAGAAACATGAAATCTTGGCATTTGCAACAACTGGATGGAACTGGAGGATGTTATGCTAAGTGACAGAAGTCATTCAGAGAAAGACAATTGTCATATGATCTCACTGATCTGTGGAATTTAAGACACAAAGCAGAGGATCATAGGGGAAGAGAGGAAAAATAAAACTAGAGGAAACCAGAGAGGGAGACAAATCATACAGACTCTTAATCATAGGAAACAAATTGAGGGTTTCTGGAGGGGAGAGGGGTAGAGGGGTAACTGGGTGATGGACATTAAGGAGGACACATGGTGTAATGAGCACTGGGTATTATATGAGACTGATGAATCACTGACCTGTACCTCTGAAACTAACAATAATTGTATGTTAATTAGATGACTTTAAATGAAAAAATTTAAAATAATAATAAACTAATATATTATTTCCAAAAAATAAAAAATAAAAATAAAAGTTTATTAACAGGGCACCTGGGAGGCTCAGTGGATTAAATGTCTGACTTGAGCTCAGGTCATGATCCCCGGGTCCTGGGATTGGAGCCCCTGGTCTTGAGTGGTCAGGCTCCCTGCTCAGTGGGATGTCTGCTTCTTTCTTGACCTCTGCCCCTCTCCCTTGCTCACAGGCTCTCTCTCTCTCTCAAGTAAATAAAGAAAACATTAAAAAAGGTGAATTAACATGTATACTGGTGCATGTGTTTCTCTCCTCTTTTTCCGTCACAAATAATAACATTTTATACGCAATGTTGTACACTATTTCCTCTTTCCCACTAAGAATATATTTTGGACATATTGCATGTCAGTAGCAAAGGTGTATTTGGTTCTATTTGCATAGTATTCTGTTGTAAGGATATGCATCATATTTTAACCAGTCCCATGTTCAGGACATTCTGTTTGTTTGCCAACTTTTACCAGTATAAACCAGTTAGGAGGAATATATTGGAACAAAACAGCAGCCCAAAGGCCCATGGATTTCTCTAGTGCGTGTGCTGTCCATAAGTCCCTCCGCGTGCTACTGGTCTTCCCTGGAGATAAGCTCTGAAGCTCCCTCGTGAGTGTGGGTTCCGGGGGCTGTGGGTTGACAACAGGAAACCCTTCCAGATGCACTTGCTGTTACCAGACCTAAGGAAGCCGAGGGAAAGTGAACATTCTGGGCACAACTAAGTAGTTATTTTTATTATTATTGTTATTTTTTTCATAATGGGTATCTGAGAAGTCAGTATCAATTGGATTAGACTTTGGTCTTTTAATAGTGGAGACAGTTAAAATAAGCCATTTTAGCATACGGCGGACAAACTAAGGTACTAGGATGGACAGCTAACTTATTTTTACATTCACTTGGAGCATGTTGTGGAGTGGATTGAAAGTTCCCATTTGTAAGACAGTTTATCAAAATTGCCTCACTGAACCCTCATGCCAGACTACAAGGTAGTTCTGACTGTCCCCATGCTAGAGATTGTCCTGAGGCCCAGACAGGATGGTGATAGCAGGGAGCAGCAGAGTCCTGAGGGTCTACTTCCAAGCTCCAGTGCTCTTCCTTGGGCACTGCTGCTCAGAGGGAGGCAGGGTGCGATAGGGTTAAGGTCAGTTCTGCCCATTCAGGCTGCCTCTGAGTCTCATCTCTAAGAAGGGTATATCATCCAGACAGAAGTACCTGGCTTCTCAGGGTTTTGTTTCCTAGGTAGTCATGTTTCCTTAACAAAATGTATTTGTAGAATGTGACAGATGGAACTAGCCTCTGTTCCAATGGTTTTCTCAACTTTCACACCCCTATCATCTCCAGGTGCAAGCTGTGGTTTTTTTTTTTTCTGTTTTTTTTTTTTTTAAAGATTTTCTTTATTTATTTGTCAGACAGAGAGCACAAAGCAGGGGGAGAGGCAGGCAGAGGGAGAGGGAGAAGCAGGCTCCCCGCTGAGCAGAGAGGCCAAGGTGGGGCTCCATCTCTAACCCTGGGATCATGACCTGAGCCAAAGGCAGACATTAAAGGTCTCAGGTCATGATCCCAGGGTCCTGGGATCGAGCCCCGCCTCAGGCTCCCTGCTCATCAGAGAACCTGCTTCTCCCTCTCCCTCTGTTGCGCTCCCTACTTGTGCTCTCTCTCTCTCAGTCAAATAAATAAATAAAATGTTTAAGAGAAGAAGAAAGGAAAAAGAAAAAGAAAAGTATTGAGGAAAGAAATGATGGTTTGACATCTCTGTATGTCTAGGCTGCCTGAAGGAATTTCAGGAGTGCATGGATGCTGCAAAAACTACAAGCTCTGGATATTACATTACTGAACTTAAATAAAATGTCAAGGGTGACATGGAGTGTACCCGCCATTCCTAAAAGCCCAAGAGATGAAGGTAGAATTCTGGAAAAGTGAAGCTATGCTTCCTGTGAGAAAAAATGGTTTTCCTCCTCCTCCTGAGTGATTTGATCAGCGAACTTTCCAGAACAGGAGGTCAACAGAACCAAGGGAACTATGTACCCTACTATGCCATCCTTTCTGATCTTGTTTCTCAGGTGTCCCTAGACCTACTTCCTTGATGCCATATCCATAATTACTTCTACCTTACTTTTCTTTTATTATTTATTTATTTATTTATTTATTTATTTTCAGTGTAACAGTATTCATTGTTTTTCCACCACACCCAGTGCTCCATGAAATATGTGCCCTCCCCAATTGCCACCACCTTGTTCCCCAACTTCCCACACCCCGCCCCTTCAAGACCCTCAAGTTGTTTTTCAGAGTCCATATTCTACCTTACTTTTCTGTTTTTAAAGATTTACTTATTTATGTGAGAGAGAGTGAGAGCGAGAGAGCACATGCAAGGGAGGGGCAGAGGAGGAGGAGGAGAGAGAGGAAGACCCTAAGCATGCTCTGAGCTGAGCACAAAGCCCAATACAGGACTTGATCCCAGGACCTTGAGAGCATGATATGCACTGAAATCAAGAGTAGGTCTCTTAACAGACTGAGCCACCCAGGTACCCTCCCCACCGCACTTAGGAAAAGGGAGACTGCAGGATTTTCTTCCTGAGTCCACTCTGGTAGCAGAAAGAACAAGGACTGGAGGCCAGGAGACCTGGGGTCTAGTCTCAGCTGTGCCACTAAGTAGCAGCAGCCGTGAGCAAGTCACTTAACCTTTCTGAGATTCAGGCTGTTCCTCTGTAAAAGTGGAGATTACTATCTCAGGGATGGCAAGTGGAACACACATATTTACCTCCATCCTGCCTTCAACAGAGGCTACCGTTCAACCTCATCGCTTATTAGAATTTTTTTCTGCAACATTCTAGGCAGGCCCATCCCATTAAAGTGGATACACGAGTCAAAATCTACTTATTCTTATTTAATTTAATAATCCTTACAGACCCTTCTAGCTCCTGAATAGAACATTCTGACTTTCCAACTAAGAGATGGCCATTTTTGTGATCTGGTAATAGCTCACTCAATAAAAGGAAAAGGAAAATTTAGGATAATAATTTCATCCCCATGTCCTCCCAGCCAGGGTCTGAGCAAGGTTTTCTTGAGGTCACCCTGTCCTTCCTTCCGTGCCAGAGAATTTGGTATATGAGCTCGCCCTCCATCAGCTCACCCAGCAGGACAGTCCCAGACTGTAGCTCCCTTTCATCTCAAATAGCTGATACTTAGCTTCATATTTGACAGCAAGGCATCTCTGAGCAAAGGAATGATCTCAGGTCACTGAGAACCAAGAGTCAGGAGCAAAGGCACGTAATGATTCTATTCCATGCTTACGAAATCTACCCAAATTTATAGTTCTCACCCGAGCAGGAACGCAATCACACGACAGTACTAGGATGGCGACAGTTTCAGAAATCCAGGTGGTTGCAACTGTGTTTTACTGAAAGAATCCGGGAAGTGGTTTACACAGGGACCCCCTCACCCCCCAAACCACACAGGAGCAAGTCCTGGGTAGGAACGCATGTGTGTTTGGGACAGGAACCCTGACTGGAGTTCTTTCTCTCAGAGCCAGGAAGGGAGAGGGGAGAAACAGTAGCCACAACAGGGAGGTGGGGCATCTTGCTACTCTGGCCTCAGGTGCAGACCTACACAGAACCGTCAAAGTGGACTGTCTCATACTGTACACACTCACAGGCCACGATGATGGATTTCTGTAGCTGCTGGGTCTGGTAGTCGCATTTGGGGTATTTGGAGCCTTTCTTCAGGCGGCAGTCGGTGATGCGCATTTTGGAGCTGCTTTGGTGGCAGTTGGGCTTCCCATTCTTGCAGGTTACATTTCCCTGGAAGCAGATTACCTGGACATCTGGCAGAGGCTCGTGGATAAATGTGTTCACTGGCTTGCACCGTCCAACCGTCATATTCCGGCGATTCATCATTTGGTTGCAGTAGCTGGCATTGATGGTGGAGGTGTTCGAGTCCATGTGCTGCCGCAGGAACTTCTCGGCCCTCGACTCCTTGGCCAGAGATGGCTGGACACAGCCCAGCACCAGCAGCACCAGGGCCAGTAGTGGGAACAGGATGAAGAACCTCTCCTGAGCCATGGTGGTCTCACTCCTCTGGAAGAGCCTAGCCAGGAAAGGGAGAGAAGAGAAAAAGCATTGCCTGAGAAAGAGTCCCAGCTCCTACCTCTGGCCTCCCTGGCTCACAGTCTCCCTTTAGGTCAGCCAGTAAGGTATCCTTCCTTCTGTGCAATTTTCCAAAGATTGAGATGCTCACATACACTCTTGTCCAAGAGTATTTAAGTCCTACTAGCTGGAGAGAGGTGGTCTTTGCCTCTGGTTGGTGACTTGACAGTGAACTAAAATCCTGCAGTCCTATGTCTGAATATTAGAGATTTTAAAATTTAAAATCTATTTGAGGGGGCACCTGGATGGCTCAGTCTGTTAAGTGTCTGCCTTGAGTTCAGGTCATGATCTGGGGGTCCTAGGATCTAGTTCTGTCTCGAGCCCAGCTTCCTGGTCAGTGGGGAGCCTGCTTCTCCCACTCCCTCTGCTGCCCCCTCTGCTTGTGCTTTCTATCTATCCCTGTCAAATAAATAAATAAAATCTTAAAAACATTAAAAAAATACATTTGAAGAATAAGTACATTTATACCCAGTGTTCAAGGTGCTTATCAGGAAATCCTTTTGAATAAAACATGAGCTCAACTGTATCCCCTGAAATACCACATGACCTATAGGATCATGATGGACAGAGTGAGGCCTATTGTTCTCCAACGCAAGGGCAACAGCACAGTTCCTAACACCAGCATCATAGAGGGATGCCAGTGTATTCCCAAGAGCAATGCTTCCCTCCCCCAGTGCCTTTGGTTCCCTGTAGCTCACATGCTCCATCCCGATATTGGTCTAGCTCAAGCTATTTCTGGTGCTAACCTCAACCACCCTGGTCCCTCTAATGCAACACAGAAGTAGAAAGAGTCCCTGAGACCATCTCTTCAGCCACTGACCTGGATCTCTAGCTTGGTCTCTAGGACAGAGCAGAAGGCCAGTCTCTGTGATCCCCGGATCCCTGGGGAGGATGTCTTATACAGATTACAAAGGGGCTTGGCTTCCAAGGAAAGATAGGTGGGAGGAGCATCTTGGTTTCACTTTAGTGGGAACCAAGGACCTTGTGAGGAAGGACATTGTAGGGAACCAACCACACCACTCTTTTTTCAGGACTGCTGGGAAGGGTGAGTCTTGTTTATAGGAACCGTACCATGTAAACCTCATTTGCCTGCTGGTTCACAAGGAGCAGCAAAGAAAGCCACTAAGGTAATGATGCCTGAACCCCAGCAAAGTCCTTGTCATCTCAGGGGGCCATTTGCATCAAACAAATAACTCTTGCAGGTTTGCAAAGGACACATAAACATGTGATCCCCAGAGCACCAGAGAAATGGAGGTCCTCTGTCTCCCCAGGAGTCCTGGTGTGGCTGGAATTCCAACAGCACCCCTTCTGGGGTGGGGGACATCCAGCTGCCTACAGCTGGAAGACTGCAGGGACCTAGGGTCTGGGAGGAGGTTTGTTTCCTGGGCAGGGAGAGGAGGAGACCTGCGACCTTACCCAGTGTTGGCCACTTCAGCTCTCCTGCGTGTGGAAGGTGGGTGTGTTACAGTACTTGGCCACAGCAACCACTCCTAGAAGGTCAGAATGGAGGAGAGGAACTAAAGTCAAACGAAACCCCCAAGGGATGTCAGGCTGGCTCAGTCACCAGGGCACGGGACAAATCTTATGACTTTGCTTCTGTATCCATGTCCTGAAACTGTGCCCTGGGCTTTTCACTTCCCGAAAGTGGCAGCTGGAATGCTGAGGGTGTAACCTGACCATGTGAATGGCTTTCCCCCTCTTCAGCACATCATAATCTTAATTCAATACACTGGCTTTGATTTCTCAACACACCAACATAGAATTATTTACTCTGGCACTTAGAAGTGAATAAAATAAGGCATTTGCTGACAAAATAATAAAATAAAACAAAACCTAATGGAGTTTATGACTTCATTAAAGCAGTCTTCCACTAAAAAATTTCTAAGAATGGATTTGAGGTTATAAAGAAAAGCTACTCATCGGAAATATGAATTCAGGAAGGAATAAAGAAAGATGATGATACATATGTGGACAAATAAAAGACCTTTTAACTATATAAAGCAATAATGTCTTGTTGAGTTAAGAAGATAAAATTAAAATATATGTCATGAACATAGCTTGGAAGAGATGTGAATTGCCAAGTGTTCAAGAGATGACTAAAAGTATTGATTAGACTTTTCTATGTTTAGTATGCATTTGAGAATTTCTGAGATAAGCAATGAAAAGAAGGGAAAACAGGGTTTGAATTCCAAACTAGCAGAGAATAAGTAGACTGTGGATCAGTTAGGAGAGTCTAGTTGTGCTGCAGTAACAAACAATCTCAAAATTTCAGTAGTTTAAAGTTTCTTTCTCATTCCTGCTATATATCTATCTTGGTCCAGCCTAGGGGCTCTGCCTGCTATTGTCACTTGGGAAAATAGGCTGACACAGCCTTCCTCTTGACACACACTGTCTTAATCAAAGAGGCAGAGGAAAGAACATAGCACTGGGATGCCCAGGTGGCTCAGCTGGTTAAGCATCCTGCTCTTGATTTTGGGTCAGGTCATGATCTGAGATCATAAGATCAAGCTCTGAGTTGGGCTCTGGGCTGAGCTTGGAGTCTGCTTGGGATTCTCTCTCTCCCTCCCCCTCTGCCTTTCACCCACTCACTCTCTCTGTCTCTATCTAAGTAAATAAGTAAAACCTTTAAAAAAAAACAGCACCCCAGAGGACATAATGCTTAATGCTTAATGCTTCTGCTGGAAGGGACATATGTCACTTCTATTTACACTTCATTGACTGGAGAAAGCCTCATGGTCACATTTAAGTACAAGGGACAGAGAAATAGGATCTTTCTAGGTGCCTGGAACGAGAGAATTATTTTGAACAGCTTTAATGTCTGTCACAGAATGACAGACAATTACACCACTAATCCAAAAGAAGGGAAGAAAGGATAGGAAATAGAAATGCCAGACAAATGAGACTAATAGGAAAGGCAAAAGAAGGTAGTAGGTATTCACTGAGGAAAATAAAAATGAATAATTATGTTATATAAATGGACTAAATGGTACAGTTAAAAGACAAGACTGATAGAAAAAACTAACACTCTTTCTCTGTCTATGCACGTATATAGAGACTATACCCACACACTATGTGTGTATATATATATATGTATATATACATATATATACATGTACATATAGATAACTTACAATTTTTAAAAATGTTTAAGAAGGTAATATTTTATTAGATGATGAGATGTGATAATCAGGAGATCAATGGAGTATTTGCTGGAGTACTTTCAGAGCACACTTATTCCAATAGGTCGAAGAGAAAGTCAGAGTGAAAGAAATGGAGTTAACAAGGAGGCTGACAGTGATGTGATGGAGCAAATTTGTACACTAGCATGATGGGGGTGGCTGGGGAGAGGGTGACATGAAGGGGTGCACGTCTTGAGGAAAGAGTCAGTATGGGAGAAGACACTGAAAATACAGCACACAGGAAGGAGGCTGAAATGGGTAAAGGAACAGGAGACTGTCTTGTCTGTGAGGATGGTGGAAAGGGGTATCAGACAAGGAAAAGGATGCAGCTGAGAAACAGTGAAGTTGACTAAGAATATGAGCAGCAGAAGAATGTCACTTCCAGCAATGGGCTTTTCTCCAAGGAGTGAGACTTGAATCTTGTTTGCCTCAAACCTCTGTTTTAAAAAATGGTTCTGAGAATGCCTGCATCATCTCTGTTGTCCTCTAGGTCATGGGGACAGCTATCCAGTGTAGAATGAGTCTGTGAGCCATTACTGAGAGACCTCATTTCCCATACATTAAATTACAGTTGCAGTATTTACCTTCATTACACAGATTAAATATGATATCAATCTCTCAAAATTTCTCTCAAGTAGTTTGACATATATCACAGTTGTCACTTCTTTAGGCACATACGATGTGATATTCATTTCCATAAACCGCTCTTGAGAATTTGACTAGAGCCTGTAGAGTGAGGAGACCATATGTATTAGTTGCAGCTTCATGACTGGTATGTTATGTTCAGGAAAATTTTATCACCTCTCTGGACCTCAGTTTGTCATCTATGAAACAAATGGATGATTGGCAAAGCACTAAAAAAGAGAATTTAAATGCATAGCAACTGGAGTCTGTTTGGACGGTGGTCTGGAATCAGTTCACCTTTTTAATTATTACTGAAACTCCAACTTGCGTTTTTCTGGTTGACTGCAGATGAAATACCCAAAAGTCCTGCATTATGATTTTAAAGACAAATAATATATCAACTTCTGTATTTGTTTCCTTATCTGTAAATTAGGCACAATTTAAGTACCTTGTTCTAAGATGCTATAGACTGAATGTTTGTTTCCCACCTGCCACCCCAAATTTGTATATTAAAACCTAACTCTCAATGGGATGGCATTTAGAAGTGGGGCCTTTGAGAGGTGATTATGTCATGAAGGTGGAGCACTCGTGAATGGGATTAGTGCCCTTACAAGAGAGACCACGGAGAGCTCCTTTAGCCCTCTATCATGTGAAACTGGTTCATAGCTATGAAACCATATAAATGCCCCTGTTTGCTGAGGACCATCCCTATTTATGCTCATTTCTTGGCTAATATATAATAATGTCCCTTTTCACTCTCAAAAGTGTCCCAACCAGACAGCAAATTATAGGGTCACCCTATTCAAAGCACATAGTAAGCCCTAAAAGAATTTTAATGTTATTATTATTACCACTACTGATATTGTTTCTTCAAGAGTCAAAATTAAAAGTTCACTTTTAATTCTGATCTAGTAGTAGAGGTAACAGTAGAGGTGACAGTAATTGAAGTTTCTGATTGGGAGGGAAGGATAAATTGAAAAGTTTCAAAATTCTCTTTATTTTTTAAGAAAACACCTTATTGATTTATTGGACAGATAGCATAAGCAGGAGGAGCATCAGAGGGAGAGGGAGAAGCAGGCTCCCTGCTGAGCAGGGAGCCTGAGATGAGGGGCTTGATCCCAGGACCCTGGGATCATAAACTGACCCAAAGGCAGACACTTAACTGACTGAGCCACCCAGATGCTATAAATTCTATCTTTATAGAGAATCAGAGAGCAGCGAAAATGGAATGGTTGTATCAGGAAAACAAAGGCAGATCTGGGCTTGGACATCATACTAGACACACTGAGATTTACTGTGGGGTAACTGTCAGAAGGCTTTGAGAAAGCAGTGCCTCTGAGAGAGCCTTGGGATAACCATGTACAACTGAGGATAACTCATAGGGACAATTGTGGGAAACATGGCTGTACCTGAGTCTCCCCAGGGGAAAAATGGGACAGACAAGTTTGTAAATAGGAAGCGAAGGGAGTGAATGAAGGCTGGAGGGAGAGGGGTCTAAACATTACAGCTTACCTTGCACCTAAAGGTTGCCTTTGGCTACTCCCTTCTGTGTGGTAGACAGTAGTGTGGCCAGAAAGAGGAAGGGGGTAGATCCAGAGCAGGATATGTCTTATCTGCAGTCCCCCGTCTTGCGCTATCTCTGAAAGTTCCTTTCAAGAGGCCTCGATTCCTGTTAGACTCCTGGGGGAAGTTGCCTCAAGACAGCTTCAAATCTCCCAGAAACACCCAGGCCTCAGAAAAATGGACCATTGGGGATAGCATTTCAGACCTGGAACTTCATCAGTCAGCTCAGATGACTGGGGTTACAGCTGAAGAGTGAAATCATTGCTGGCTTAAGTTCTCAGTGAACAATGTAGTTTTGTTTAACATTTCTGAGTGCTTGTTGATTGATCAAGTTTCAGAAAATACTCTCTTCCAGTGAAAAGTATTTAGACTGGGTGTAGGAGTAAGTCAGAGAGGTCCAGGGGTTGTCCTGAACTTTCAATGACCTTCCAGCCCCTTGAGAGGATGGCCCTTGTAATCAGTTCATCCTGTCCAATGACGAGTCTAAGGAAAGAGAAGAGGGCTGTCTCTGGGATGGCGAAATAGATATGCCTGCTTATCTGCATGTTATCATCTCAGATCAAAAACACTTTCTGCTCTTGACTCTATGCCCACTTAATTTCATTTGTGACTTTGTGGAACATCATGTAGTGAGAAAAAGAATGGGCCTGAATTAGAGCCCCAATGCCATAGTATAGCCTATGGCTAACAACATGGTGTGCTTATGCCTCACTGTATTTCACACTTACTAATCAACAATACTTCCATTATCTCTGATTTTATGGTTTAGGTGTAAAACATCAGTCTTCAGCAAGGAGGGTAGAGATAAGGGAAAAACTGCAAACACATCCTAAACTTTTGGAGTTCATCATAGTGGTATGGGCAAAACAATTCTCAGACTATGTTAGATGTATTACAAGAGTGAGCAAATGAGCACAAGGGTTATTGTTGTGAAGAGCCAGGGTTCAACCTGGACATGTGTTTATGTAATACGTGGAGGAAACAGAGAGGAGGAAGAAACCTTTTCCTCCACCCTCTTAGGTTCAGAGACGAGGAATGTACAAATTAAACTGACAAAAGATAGACTAGCAAGAGAAAAAACCCAAGTTACATACACATATACAGCACCAAAAGTGAACCCTAATGGCTTCTATGGACTTTGGGTGACGTGTCAAAGTAGGTCCGTCATTTATAACAAATGTACTGCTCTGGCATAGGATGTTGACAGTGGGAGAGGCTGTGCATGGGGCGACATGGGGACCCAGGGTATATGAGAATTCTGCTTTCTGCTCATTTTTTTGTTGTGAATCAAACTGTCACCACAAATGATGTCTATTTAGAAGGAATAATTAAAAAGAGATGCTGATATCTTCAAAAATTTCAGACTTTTACTTACTTCACTCAGCATCATCTTTTCCAGTCCTGTCTATGTTGACACAAAAGTTGGGTATTCATCCTTTCTGATGGAGGCATAATACTCCTTTGTATATGTGAAGCAGAGAGACTCAATTATCATATTATTTTACTTACTTATGGAGCATAAGGAATAACACGGAGGACATTGGGAGATGTTCAGGATGGTACAGCAAGCTTCCATATACTGGATGGCTTATAAACAACAAACATCTCTAACAGTTTAAGAGACTGGAAAGTCCAAGATCAAGGCACCAGCAGATTTGGTGTCTGCAGAAAATCCACCTCAGATTTATAGATGGTTTATAGATGGCTACCTATTTTCTGTGTCTTCATATGGTGGCAGGGCAGGGAGTTCTCCTGGGCCCCACTCCTGCGGGCTCTACCCTCATGACCTAGTCACCTCTCAAGTGCTTGACCTCCTAATACCATCACATGTGGGATTTCAACATTTCAAACATTCTGTCTATAGCAATTGTGTTTCTACCTGCCAGTTCCTCTATTAGATTATTTAGTCTAATAAATATTCAATCAATTAGTGGTCAATTAATCTTCACCAAAGCAAGTAGGACTATCCAAAGGCAAAAAGATAGTCCCTTCAAGAAATGGTTGGGAGAAGTCAAGATAGCAGAATAGTAGTAGGCTGAGATGACATCAGGTTGCAGGAGTTCAGCTAGATAGTTATCAAACCTTTCTGAACACCTATAAACCCAACAGGAGATCGAAGAGAAGAGCAGCAATTCTTGAAACAGAACATTGACTACTTTCTGAAAGGTAGGACTTGTGGAGAAGTGAATCCAAAGAGATGGGAAGATAGCCTATGCAGGGAGGGTCCAGTTTCCAGCAAGCCACGGAACAACGGAGCACAAAATCAGAACTTTTAGAAGTATGCTGCACTGGGGTGCCTGGGTGGCTCAGTGGGTTAAAGCCTCTGCCTTCGGCTCGGTTCATGATCTCGGGGTCCTGAGATCGAGCCCCACATCGAGCTCTCTGCTCGGCAAGGAGCCTGCTTCCCCCTCTCTCTGCCTGCCTCTCTGCCTGCTTGTGATCTCTTTCTCTGTGTCAAAAAAATAAAAAAAATTAAAAAAAAGAAGTCTGCCACACTGAGGGACATCGCTCCAGAGTCTAAGTGGGGGTGGAGCCCTTGTGGGGACAGCGTGGGCTCAGGTCTCGTGGGGTCACAGAAGGATCGGGGATGTCTGAGTGTAGCAGAGCTCACAAGTATTAAAGCAGGGAAGCTGGCTACAGAGACAGAGCCAAGGAGTGAGCTCTCAACTCGGGGTTACCTTAAACTGTGATCTGTGGCACAGTCAGGGCATTGCTCTTTGAGCAGGGACCTCACAAGTGGCAGGGACCGGGAGACCCCCCCTGAAGAGCGGCAGAGATCTGCTGTGTTTGGAGACCCTAAATAGAGCTGTGTGCCTGAGACAGAATTGCTGGGTCACAGGCCGTGTGAGCTCAGAGTGAGGCTGGGGACCAGGGAGACGGGAGTGATTGAGTGCTTTTCTCCGAGGGTGCACTGAGGAGTGAGGCCCTGAGCTCTTGGTTTCTCTGGGCTGGAGATTGGGAGGCTGCCATTTTCATTCCTGCCCGTCCTCCAGAGCTCTACAGAAAGTGTTCAGGGAACAAAAGCTCCCGAGAGAGAAACCAAGCAGATTACTTAGCCCGGGCCCTGGCAAGGGCAGAGCAATTCCACCTCAGACAAAGACTCCTGAGAATCACTATAACAGGCACCTCACCCAGAAGATCAGCAAGAAATCCAGTCAGGACCAAGCTCGCTGATCAAGGAGAGCAGAGGATGGGAAAGCAAAGCCTGGAATTCATGGCTTTCTGCCAATGATCCTTTAGTCGTGCAAAGTTAATTAAATATTTTTAATCTATTTTTTCTTATTTTAATTTTTTTAAACTTTTACTCTTTCCTCTTTTAACATTTTTAAACTAGTTTATCTTAATAATACCTTTCTTAAAAAATCTTTTTGAATGTTTATTATTGTAGTCATATTTTTTTACCCTTCATTGTATCTAAACTTATCTTTTGTATGCCCATAGGGTTTTTTCTTCTAAAATATTTTGGGATACAACTTCTTCTAATAGATCAAAATATACCCTAAATCTACCACAGGGTTTGTTCTAGTTTCCAGGCTGAGCAAATTCTCTCCACTTTCTTTTTCTTTCTTTTCCCAACCAACTTATCTTACCAACTCCTTTTTTATAATTTTTAAAAATTTTCATCTTTATTCTCATGTTCTACCCTTTCATCATATTTATCCTTATGTGTGTGTGTGTGTGTGTATGTGTGTGTGTGTGTGTGTGTTTTCCTTTTTTAACATTTTGGGATGTAGTTTCTTCTAAGAGACCAAAATACTCCCAAAATCAAGTGGGTGGCTCTGTTCTATTCACCAGTCTGATATATATATTTTCTTTTTCTATTTAATTTTTAAAAATTTTTTGAGCTTTTTTTACTCCCTTTCCTCCTCCCCAAAATTTTAGATCTTTTCTGATTTGGTTAACACGCATTTTTCTGGGGTCATTACCACCCTTTCAGTATTTTATTCTCTCATTCATATATTCTTATCTGGATACGATGACAAGGTGGAAAAACTCACCACAAAAAACAAACAAACAAAAACAAAAACAGAACAAAACAAAACAAAACAAAAACCAAGAGGCAGGACTGAAGGTTATGTACATTGGTAATACGTTAGACCTAGAGTTCAGAATGACGATTCTCAAGGTGCTAGCTGGGCTCGAGAAAGGCATAGAAGATATAAGAGAAACCCTGTCTGGAGAAATAAAAGCCCTTTCTGGAGAAATAAAAGAACTAAAATCTAACAAAGCTGAAATCAAAAAAGCTTTTAATGAGGTGCAATAAAAAATGGAAGCTCTAACTGCTAGGATAAATGAGGCAGAAGAGGGAATTAATGATATAGAAGACCAAATGATGGAGAATCAAGAAGCTGAGCAAAAGAGAGACAATCAACTATTGGACCACGAGGGGAGAATTTGAGAGATAAGTGATACCATCAAACACCACAATATTAGAATAATTGGGATTCCAGAAGAAGAAGAAAGAGAGATGGGGGCAGAAGGTATATTGGAGTGAATTATTGTAGAGAATTTCCCTAATATGGCAAAGGGAACAAGCTTCAAAATCCAGGAGGCACAGAGAAACCCTCTCAAAGATCAGTAAGAATAGGTCCACACCCCGTCATATAATAGCAAAACTTACAAGTCTTAGTGACAAAGAAAAAATCCTGAAAGCAGCCTGGGACAAGAAGTCTGCAATATACAATGGTAAAAATATTACATTGGCAGCAGACTTATCAACAGAGACCTGGCAGGCCAGAAAGAACCGGCATGATATATTCAGAGCATTAAATGAGAAAAACATGCAGCCAAGAATACTATATCCTGCTTGAAAAACGAAAATAAAACTGAGGGGAATCACGTTACCTGATTTCAAGCTTTACTACAAAGCTGTGATCCCCAAGACAGCATGGTACTGGCATAAAAACAGACACATAGACCAATGGAACAGAGTAGAAAGCCCAGTTATGGACCCTCAACTCGATGGTCAAATAATCTTCAACAAAACAGGAAAAAATATACAGTGGAAAAAAGACCGTCTCTTCAATAAATGGTGCTGCGAAAACTGGACAGCTATATATAAA